CTATAATAAATAATGGAAAATAAAAAAATTGAAATCAATTATAATAGAAATGTTAACAATAATCAAATGGATAACAAAACTTGTGATAAATGTAACTTAACAGTTATAGTTACAAAAATTGGTCTAGACATTTGAAATCTATTCGTCATCAAAACAATGATCCAGATCAAACAATTATACCTCGATTTAGACGAACATACAGAGGTACAACAACAGCAAATGTAAGAACAAGACAAGAGAGAATACCAAAAATAGATAAAACTTGTGATATTTGTAAGCTAACAGTTAAATACAACAGTTGGTCTAAACATGTGCAATCTATTCGACATCAAAACAATGGTATAAGACCAAGAATATCAAGAGAGATAATACCCAAACCACATAGAGTTTTCAATTTTAGAGAAGAAATGTTCGAAAAAAACAACACTATTCGACCTATTTTAAAAAATGAAGAAACAGCATTTCGAGATAGAATAAAAACTTATATTATTAGAAAATAATATAGGTATTAAAGATATACAACCATTTTTAAATCGTTTAGATAATCCAGTAATAGGACGACTTAAACACGAATTAAAAAAAACAAATTTAAAAGTTAATATTATGTTTCTTGCTATATATAAGAGAGGTAATAATGAAGAAAATATGGAATATGAGGAAAAAAATTTTAAAACACAAAATAAAATTTTAACAAAAAATTCTAACTTAAATGAATTTTATACAAAAGCAAAAATAAAAATTGTAAAAGAAGAAGATGATTTTATAATGAAAGATTCACAATGGAGAATTCATAAAATTTTAAGTTTGGGAATAAATATAAATAAATATGTTCCTTTTAAGGGTTCTTCATATATTCCATTACCTAAACATATTAAAGATAAACATGCTATTATAAATGTTAAAAATGAAGATGATAAATGTTTTCTTTGGGCAATACTCTCTGCTTTACACCCTGTTGAAAAAGATGCTCAAAGAGTAACTAAATATATTCCTTTTAAAAATGAATTTGATAAAGAATTTAAAGATATTGAATTTCCGGTAAAAATTACAGACGTTCCGAAATTTGTTAAAAGAACAAAAGATATTTCTATTAATATTTTTTATTTAGTTAAAAATGTAATTGAACCTTTAGGTGAAATAACTAAAATCGAAAAAACTAATCATATAGATTTATTATATTTAACAGTGGATGATAAGGATACTGATGATAAGGATAATAATATGAATAAAGGACATTATTGTTGGATTAAAGATTTATGGAAACTAGTAGGAAGTCAAGTTACAAAAGATGGTCATAAAAGATTTTTTTGTAAAATGTGTTTGAATAGTTTTAATACAGAAAATAAGTTAAATGATCATAAACATTATTGTGCTAATAATAAAGCTGCTAAAATAGTTCTACCAGAACCTTATGACAAAACTTTAGAATTTAAAAATTATAATCATTCCTTAAGAGTCCCTTTTGTGATTTATGCTGACTTTGAATGTACACTTCAACCAATATACACTTGTCAACCAAATGATACAGAGTCTTTTACAAAATGTTATCAGAAACATATACCTAATAATTTTTGTTATTATATTAAATATAGTAATGGTGATTATAAACCTCCTGTAGAATATTCTGGTCCAAACATAGCTCAAGTATTTTATGATTGTATGAAAGATGAAGAAATACTTATTTCTGAATTATATGATAAAATAGTTCCTATGGAAACATTGAATGCAGAACAATTAAATAATTATAATAAATCTGATAAATGTCATATTTGTGAAAGATGTTTAGATGAATTACCTCCAGTTTTAGAGAAAAAATTTAAAATAATTATTGACACTATTAAATATTATAAAAAATGTAATGCTGAGAAGTATCGTATTAAATCATTTGAAGATAAACTTAATGAAGAAACAAAATATAAAAAAATAAATATGAAAAAAGTTCGGGATCATGACCACTTAACTGGAGAATATAGAGGAGCAGCACATTCTATATGTAATCTTAATTACCAAAATCCATGTTTTATTCCAATTGTTTTTCATAATCTTTCAGGTTATGATGCCCATCTATTTATAAAAGAATTTGGGAATGATAATGAAAAAATAAAATTAATCCCAAATAATGAGGAAAAATATATTTCTTTTTCAAAAATGATGTCACGTGAAGTAAATAGGAAAGGTAAAGACATAAAAATATGTACAGAATTAAGATTTATTGATTCATTCAAATTTTTACCTAGTTCTTTAGAAAAGTTAACAAATAATTTAAGAAATGATTCAAAATTAAATTTAAAAAATAAATTTAAAGAACTTAGTAAATATTTTCCTGAAGAACATTTAGATTTAGTTACTAGAAAGTTAGCTTATCCCTATGAGTATATGGATTGTGAAGAAAAATTTAATGAAACATGTTTACCTCCTCTTGAAAAATTTTATAGTTCTCTCACTGATAAAAATATAACTAAAGAGGAATATGAAAACTCACAGAAAATTTGGAAAGCTTTTAATATACAAAATATGCGTGAATTCACTAGTTTATATAATAAGATCGATGTTTTATTATCAACAGATATAATAGAAAATTTTAGAGACATTTCTTTAAAAAATTATAAATTAGATCCTATGTGGTATTACACAACACCAGGATTTGCATGGGATTGCATGTTAAGAATGACAAATGTAAAATTAGATTTATTAACAGATATAGATCAAATATTGATGTTTGAATCTGGAATCAGAGGTGGCTTATCTCAATGCAGTCAAAGATATTCAAAAGCAAATAATAAATACATGGGAGATAAATTTAAAAAAAAGGATGAATCAATATTTTTAGAATACTTAGATGCAAATAATCTTTATGGTTGGGCAATGAGTAAATATTTACCTACTGGAGATTTCAAATGGGTTGATAATCTGAATGATTTTGATGTAATGAATATTTCTGATAAATCACGTAAAGGTTATATTTTAGAAGTTGATTTATCTTACCCTAAAGAACTTCATGATCTACATTCAGATTTCCCTTTAGCACCAGAAAGACATTTTGATAACAAACAACTCCCAAAATTATTAACAACTTTGTATGATAAGAAAAAATATATAATACATTATGAAACACTAAAATTATATATTAATTTAGGTTTAAAGATAGAGAAAATTCATAGAGTATTAGAATTTAGTCAATCTCCTTGGTTAAAAGTTTATATTGATTTTAATACTAATCTTAGATCAGAAGCTAAGAATGAGTTTGAAAAAGAATTTTTCAAATTAATGAATAATAGTGTTTATGGACGTACTATGATGAATGTTAGAAATCATGTTGATATAAGATTATGTTCTAATGCATACCAACTAGAAAAATTAATTACAAAACCAAATTTTGATCGAAGGACAATTTTTACAGAAAATTTAGCTGCCGTACATATGAAAAGAACACAAATATCTTTCAAACAACCAATATATATAGGAATGTGTATTTTAGATTTATCTAAAATGTTAATGTATGATTTTTATTATAATATTATAAAGAAAAAATATGGAAATAGAGTTAGATTGTTATATACAGATACAGATTCACTAATATTAGAAATAAAAACTAATGATTTTTATCAAGATATGAAAATTATGTTAGATCATTTTGACACATCAGATTATCCAAAAGATAATATTTATGGTTTACCTTTAGTTAACAAAAAAGTTTTAGGCAAGTTTAAAGATGAGTTAAATGGAAAAATAATGACTGAATTTATAGGTTTAAGATCTAAATTATATTCTCATCGAATCTTAGATACTGAAAAAGAAATTAAAAAAGCTAAAGGTGTTAAAAAAAATGTTGTAGAAAATAAAATATGTTTTAATGATTTTGAAAAATGTTTACTAACAAAAGAATCAAAATATGTTAAACAAAATTTATTTAGAACTAAGAAACATGATATTTTTACTGTAGAACAAAACAAAAAAGCTTTAAGTGTTTATGATGATAAAAGATTTATTTTGGAAAATGGTATTGATACATTAGCTTGGGGACATTATAAAACAAACATAGATAGAAACGATTTTGTAAACCATCTCAATACACTGATTAGAAATCAAAATCAAAAAGATTAGAAAAATATTTGATATTTAACGTGTGTCCGAATTGGACACGCGTTTAAATATATAAGTTTTTTACATTTCGATTTTTATTTTTAATAGAACAATTCTATTAAAAATATTTTAATTATTATTACATTTCGATTTTAATTATTAATATCATAAGTATTATGAAAAATATTTTGGGGGTGAAAATATATTTAATAAGTTTTGCGAAAAATTTTTTTATTATTATTGCATTTCGATTTTTATTTTTAATAATTAAGTTTTGCGGAAAATATTTTTATTATTATTGCATTTCATAAGTTTTGCGAAAAATTTTTTTTATTATTGCATTTCATAAGTTTTGCGAAAAATTTTTTTATTATTATTGCATTTCAATTTTCTGATCTTTTTGCACATTGTTTTCTTTGTGATCTTTTACTGATATATTATGAGGTGCGCCAGGACTGGTACATATATACTACTAGTAAGCAAGACGTAAATTTCATAAATACGTCTTACCAGAATGAATTCATTTTTGAAAAAACATTGTATTTGCATACCAATTTTCCTAAAATTATCTGTAATTTTTCGGTAAAAGTATGAACTACTTGTATTAAATTTTCTAGTCTTAGCTTATACAAATTTAATATTTAAAAGTTTTGAACAACAAATTAACTGTGATTTTGACGAAATTTGAACTTTAAATGCTTATAAAATAAAAACCATGATGTCTACGTATCGTTAATATTTTAACTATAGTAAAAACTTACGTATTACATTTATTTTTTAAACTTTTTGATCGGATGAATAATTTTTTATTGACATTTATAGAATAAAAAATGTTAATTAATCAAATACAATCCAAGTGAGGACGGTATAGCCACAGTAGACAGAATCTATCTAGCATTTTCAATTTTGACCTCCTAAAAGTACCAACTACATCCAATTTGCTTCCAAAAACATACACCGGACATCAAAGCTTATGATCAGAGTATTTTTTCTACCAGAAAAGTTGAAAAGTTACAAAAATTTTAAAATACCTCAAGTAAAAGTCTGAAATCATTAAACTGGACAAAATAAAAATTACTAATTTTCAAGCCCCCCCCCCCATTGAAAAATCCTGCGTACGCCACTGCATATAGTAGTGTTAGTAACAACTATAAAATTATGATTTATGTTAAACTTTGATTTCATAACTATACCTTTTTATATTGTAAATACAAGTTTGGATCACATTTAGCACTGATATGTTGACCTTTGTCATGACATACAATATGTACGAGTTTAAGATTAACTGTTGTGAAGAGCAATTCATAGAAATACTTCATATTTATTGAACGGTGAACCTCAGACGCCATTTTACTGGCCTCAAACAATGCTGGTATTACAGTTCGAGATCTCTCCACCCTAATAATAAAAATCAATTATAAACAATAAGTCTATAATTAAATATTTTAAATTTGGAGGAAATATATTAAACTATTATAGTATTATAAACTATACCAATGGTCTAAGTTCCAAGTAGAAAATATAATTCTACTCTCCCTGCTTTGGTATGGATTGATTTTGTGACCAGTTCCGCGTTCATAAGAACAAATAGATTGATTCCATGCTCCCTCGCATTTAAAAGTTCCAATCTCGTCGCACAAACCATTTGTATTTGATCTATCAAAATAATATCCATGATGTTTGTTTTTTGTTAAAAGTTCACTGAATTGTTTAAATACTTCATCCAAGTACTTCCTGCACTTTGTATGTTTTATATAAAAATCTGACTTAATCATATCCGATTTTGTTTTGTACATATAACTTCGAATTCGTTCTTGACAGCGTTTGAACATGAATTCTTCTTTCGTTCTTGCCCTAGTTTCCAAACCTTAAAAATAAATAAATAATTATAATTATATGGCTAATATTATATTATAAAGTTAATTATCAGTAACTTGAAGTAATAATTAACACCATTATTATTTAACGTCATAAACTCATAACTGAAGGGCGGACTTTTATGCATTAAAAACCAATCAAATATGCATTAAATCATAAATATGCATGAAAAAAAAATAAATATGCACTTAAAGATGAAATATGCATTGAAAATCTTAAAATAAAAAAAAAAAATATGGGAAATGCCGACCAATGCAAATATGTACCATAAAAGTTCCATACTTTAAATTGTTATGTCATGAAACAAATTCTCTGCTCACTTAGCATAATTATTATATCTTAGATCAACAAGAATTAAATATGCAAATGCCTACAAATCTGTGCTTTACTCATAACATTTATCGATAAAGAAAATTATTTTGTTAAGAGTTAACATTTTGAGTTAAACAATATTTTAATAAAATTACCCTTGAGTTGAATGTATGTATAATGTGTATAATATAAATTATTATTTATATGTTGTAAGATGTTTGTTCTTATGCAAAAATGTACAGGGGCAAATTCAGATTTATTTAATGGTGGGAGCGAATATTGCATATTTTTAAAAATAAAATAAAGTGTCGAATATAGGTATTTGTGTGTGTTAAAAAATAACAAAATTTAAAATTTAACAGTTATGTTTCAATTAATAAATACTAAAATGTTAACTTAAAACAAATATAAAAAAAAAATAAAAAAAACATATTTAATCTTAATTTAAATATAGCCTACAGAGCTACAGTCACCTCCTCCGCACCCACTGAATTCGGATCCGAAGAGGTATTCTACGATAATATTTTTTTTTGATGATAAAAATAATAAAAATAAATAATTAAAAATTAAAATAATAAATATTCTTAGATTTCATGTTCTAGTAATTTTATTCAATATAATAATAAACAATTTAACAAGCACTGATGTAATTTTATAGCCTATGGCATAGATATTATACTAATACACTAATTTTCATTAGTAAATTAATACTTTGAAATATATTTGAAATTAAATTAATTTTAATATTATTTAAATAGTAAATAAAATTTGTCTTAAGTCTGAATAACTTAATTTTTTTTTCTGATACAATACATTACTTATTTGTTAACATTATGATTATGATCATAATACTAAAGGGCTCTGCCCCTACTAGCTTCACTTGTCATCCACCCTTGTGGCTTCATCCCTGTGACCCAAGGGTACTCCCTTTATATCTTAAATATAATATATTCTGTCATTTAAAATATTGACATTGCATGATTTATATAAAAAAATATCAACTGTTTATAATATTTATGAGAAATGAGAAGTAAATATACAAAACTGTTTTGTATAGGTAATAGAGGGGTTATCATTATAATTACCTTGAAACCAATCTGGGTCTCTTAATCTTAGACTGCTGATTTTTTTTTTTTTACCATCATCATCTACATCCAGAACTGAAGATAATATTCTTATTTTTTCTTTAATGTTTTCATCCATAAATGATTTTATTTTAATTGAAGTTTTTAATGTATTATTATTAACAGCAGCAAGCACATTATATATTAAATCAGCCCCTGAAAAAAATCAAGATAATTAAATTAAATTTAAATACATAGTTAAATAGTTAAACTAGTAAATACATATTCAATATTATATAATTATAGTTACAGAATAATAAGAAAATCCTTTTTGACTTTCAAAAAAAATATTGTTTTAAGAAAACAGAGAAAAGATTTAAGGAAAAAATTAAATGGCCTAATGAAAAAATATAAAGAATATAATACGTTCATTGTTTATTAATAAATATTTAAAGAGCAATAGAGTGCACAAATAAATATTTATAATATTTGATTTACATTTAATCTAAGAATAAATTATATAATAATATAATATAATATACATAGGCGTGCGCAGACTTTTTTCACAGGGTATGCCACTATTTTTAAACATACCCAGCTCAAAACAAAATATAACTCGGAACTCCCCCAAAACTCTTAATAGGTAAAATTAATAACTTATATATAGCGAAAAGAAATTAATATGCGTTTTATTTAGCTTTATCTTATGGTTTTAGACATTTTATTTCGAAAGGTTGTACTTTTCTGTGATTTCTTTCCAATGACGTAACAAGTATAGAAACCTAACCGATATTTGATCATCTTAGAATAATATAATATGACAAAAATAATATCTAATTAAATCGAAATTCTTTTAATTTGTTAGTTGTAGGTAGTATTGAAAATAAGGAAATTAATAATAAAATAAGAAATAGGAGGGGCCTAGAAAAATATTCTTGTGACCAAACCCGCAATTCTCACGACACTTGTGAATTTTGATTTCAACTATATTATCAAGAGGCTAGCAATCTATTTTATCATTATTTATAGGTACCTGTTGTGATTATGAAAATAAATTATGAAAACTCACTTCATATTTGATTTCGTCTCAACTGCCAATATTTTGTGTATAAGAAATATTTTAAAAAATGAATCAAACATTTAAATTCTTGAACTAAGATACTATGAACTATCTTAGTTCATGATTCTAATTTATAATCAACACATTTACAACTAAAAACTTTATGGTTAAGATAACTCTGCAGGGGATGCCATGGCATACCCGGCATCCCCCCTTCGCACGCCTATGATTACTATATTTTTGTAGGTACACTATATATTGATAATAATTAATTTATCCCTAACAATTACCTAGAACTTAGAGTAATGTTTATTATTCAAAATTCAAATATTAACCACAATTATAAAGGATGTTGCACTACTCAACAGAAACAACTTTATAATGTTTACAATGTATTACAGTCAAGTCTCGATAACTTTAATTTTTTTATATTGCTATAGCCATATCTATAGTTATATCTTCTATAGAAGTGTTTATAAGTTATAAATAACTTGAACAATACATAAGTCAAATTTATTTTTATTTCCTTTGAGATTCGAGTTATCAAATTTTATTTGCTATTTTAAATATTCTAGCCCAACATAAGAATCTCGATCATATCATCTGCCTTCCTAGCCCAGGTAACCCATTAACCGACTTACAAGACCAGTCGGTGTCGTGACCCTGCTAGCCTACTCTCAAATTTCGTACTCGAGACCTAGTACTTCCGCTGGGAGGCCTCTACAGTCTGTCTAATCTGCCTTTTTATTTTTATTTTTATTTATTTTAACCTATAAACCATCAGTTTGTTTTTATGTTTTTATTTTTTTGTAACAAATTGAATAAAAACATAGAATCAAAAAAAAAAAAAAAAATTAAATAGTAATTACATCTAAATAATAAGTACATATTTTATAAAATATAATATATAATATATATAATATAAATACCTAATAATTTTAATTTTAATATTATTCTGTGAAAAATATGTAAATTATTTTCACAATTTTAGTGATCAGGTATATTTTATAAGATGTACAAAAATACATTATTATATAAAATACAATATTGTAATGATGCTCTAATAAATTCATAACTAAAAATAAGCAGTAATCTATTTGTTATGAAATACTACTACAGTACAGGATGTCACCTATTGTTTTGGTAGTAAAAGCATTATTCTTCATTAGACATGCTTGACAAGTTAATGTGATTTAAAACATTTGGGTAATTATTTCTTCATCATTTATATTATTTGTTCTATAATAAAATTAAATTTAAAGGGAATGATTGTGCAAAAATAATAACTATATATTCATAAAAAATATTATAATATTAATATAACTTGATTTTGTAAATTCCCAGTCATAATGTGTAAATTAATTTTAATATTATTCGGCATTTACTTGTCGTCTGCATGGAGCTCCAGAATCAAAGAAGTATTTAGTTTAAAACAAATTTATTTTTCATCCATAAATGCGACAACACTTAAAAATGACACTAAACCTGAACCAACTAACGTAATGCCACTGGCTTTGGAACGATGGCAGAATAAATTATTTTTGGTTACACCCAGATTCAAGCTTGATGTACCAGTAACGCTATCATACATAAATTTAACAAGTAAGATAATTAAATACATAAACAAAAGTATTATTATATACATAAAAAATAAAATTTAATCATTATTTAGATATGGAAAGTTATAAAAATAACACACCTATATTAATTCCCTATCCTGATCAGAAAATGAATGAAATATCTGAGCATAATTTTAAGTCAGTAGTCAAAGTAAGAGCTGACGTTTGCGACCGTTTGTGGATATTAGATAATGGAAAGATAAACAACAGGCAAGAAAGTATTCCTGTTATACATGTATATGACTTAAAAAATGATTTGCATTTGAGAACATTTGATCTTGGACGTTTATCAACTATAAATTCAGATATCACCAACATGGAAGTGGACGTAACATCTTCAACTTGTGAAGATGCATACACATATATACCAGATAGTGAAACTTATCGATTATTGATTTACAGTTGGAGGACTAATGAGTCATATTCATTATCACACAATTATTTTCATTTTGATCCTCTTTGTGGCGATATAGATTTAGGCGAAGTTCACTTTCAGTCTCAAAAAGGTTTATATGGAATAACTCTATCACCAACTGCAAGAGATGGTTTTAGAACTATTTACTTTCATAGTATTGCCAGTACAATGGGGTTTGCAGTTAGTTCGAGAATAATACGTAGTGGAAATTATGATAAGAATGTAAATGTATACGATTTTAAAGTGATGGGAAATAGAGGTACTAATAAACAAGCTACATCATCATCGTTTGACATGGAAACTGGAGTTTTATTTTATGGGCTTCTTTTAAAAAATGTTCTCGGTTGTTGGAATTCTTATAGGTAATTTAATGAATATATTAATTATATGTATAATGAATATAATTCAATAATTATAAATAATTACAGTGGAGAAGAATATAATGAATTAACCCAAGGTGTAATAAGCTTGGACAATAGTATTGATATGTATCCAGCTGACGTCAGAGTTGATCGAACAGGAAATCTTTGGGTATTATCAAATTCATTTCAAATATACAATAAAAAGGATTACGATCAGAACCTAATCAATGTCAAAATATATATGACTCCAGTTCGACAAGTGATAAAAGGATCAATTTGTGATGAAATGTAATCAACAGTAAATAGATACCTGTTTCAAATGTTTCCCCATTTAACCGAAATATAAATAAAGTCTGTGCTGGTAATTGTTGAAAATAGTCTTCATCATCAATCACTGTACCATCAACAGTCATCATAGTCACATTTATATGGTCTAACTATAAAATAACAATATAAAACAAAAGATTAAAAGTTAATATTTAGATTTTAAATTGGTATTATATTTATTTATTCGATAATTTACCCAACTTTATAACATTAAATAATATTTATATTTAATTTTCATTTACAAGTTGATAGGTATCTACAAGCATAAGCAAAGCTTGTGTTGAGAGCAATATTACAACAATTATTTACTAGGCATATTTTACAAATGTTATTCCAACATAAGTGTCATTGCGGAGTAGAAAGAGGTAGAAATTGTTACCCTACCAATTTTATTATTTTATCTACCTACTGCTTCAGGCTTCATTAGATCACATGCAATTGAAAAAAATATTGTTCAAGATACTTGCCACCCCATGATTTTACTTCAAATGATGCCCCTGGGCCCTGGTTAACAACAATAATAATAAAGAATTCTGAAAAATATATAACACACGTCTTTATTGTATACAGTAGGGGTCAGAAATTTGTTTCCAAGAGAATCCCGTTTGTTTTATGCGTAGGCGAACAGATAAACTCTTTTTTATAACTGACTGACCAAGACATCATAATTTATTACCATTAACATTTTATTTTTATTATTATTTTTGGCTGCTGAAGTACCCAACAACTAACAACTTCCACAAGCGAACACTAACTTTGTCTTTCATTGATTGAAAATATTATTATTATTATTATTATTATTTTTATATATTATTGTTTTTTGGTACCTATTATAATATTGGTTAGGTATAGCTTTTGGGATTTTTCTTCCGGAGGTTTTTTTTTCAAAGGTTTTCATCTTATGGATTTTTTTTCCTAGTTTCATTTGGTAAAGGTAAGTCAAGTCAATTAAAACATAACAATAATCTTGTATACAATTTTAAAATACATAGGTTTTAAACTATTAATTGATATGTCAATGTTATTGTTTACCTTTAATTTCTGACATCCTTTAGTAAAAACATCTTTTAATGATTTGCCGACAATACCAAATCTCATATCTTGTGCACAATTAGTGATCTTATAACCTTTCATATTTATAAATACTCTAAAACCAATTAAGTTGTTACCTATTTAAACATAGACAAATTAACATAAATTGTATTTAATATATAAAATATATTACTAAATTGTACTTACTATTAGTGTTTTCGATTTGACTCACTTTTTGCACTCAGTGCGCACCGAGTGCAAAAACGTATTGGATTTAATCAATATTCAGTGAACTGGTGCAGTGTTTTGCATTCGGTTTAATTGGCAATTGCACTGACAACAAAGTTGAAAGTTCACTATACCGAAGTCAATATTAATACTTTGTAAGTTTACAGATAGTTAATAAATATTAAACGATTTCAAATTTAAATGTTCTACTCTAGAGTATATTATGAAATTTAAATAAAAATAAAAATTTTAGTTCGTAATTCATAAAGGCATGTATAAACTATAAATGTATAATACTATAATAGGCTGATAGGCAAGAGGCAACCTATTGAAGACCGAGGTTTTATTCTGTGCTTCTACCAAATCAGTATACCTATTATCACCAGACAGTAAATAAAAACCACGGACTAAGATATTATATCTTATAGCCATGAACTACTACACAGGACTGGACACTATTGGCAGGAGGAGAGTAGGGGGTCGTTCACAAAGTTGTACATATTCGGTACACATGCGACACAGCGCCATCTGTGAGATAAGAAATATTTTGTTATATAAAATACCGCCTTAGTAGTTCATGCTTAAACTGTTCACTCTTTAAGCAGTAATTATATTCTGATAATATTCTATAAATAGTATCATTATTATCTTGAATTGTGTTATTAATAATTGTTTTTCAAAAATTAAAAAGTAAATTTATTATCAGTTATTATCACTAATATCACTATTCTTTAGTGTTATCCTATAAAAAACGTAGTTCGTACTACTAACAGGCAGAGTGCAGTTACATCGCATGTGTACGAACCATGAACATTAGAGGATAACCTCTAATGTTCATGGTACGAACCTTGTACAACTTTGTGTCCGTGATTTTCTCTGTAGTGTCCAGTCCTGTGTAGTAGTTCATGCTTATAGCACATAGTCCGTGCTGTCTGGTATATTATCTGTCTCTTTATCAATGATAAGTGATAATTATCAACTTGATAACCACGGACCACGGACTAAACAGGAGTTACACTAGGACTAGTTACAGTACTGGATTACTGGAATACAACAACCATAGACAAGAATACTAAAAACTGGACAACAACTGGATTTGAACTATCTGGGTATTGACTGTTCTGTATTTCTGACTTCTGTGACTTGTGAGACTGTGACTGAAGTACTGAACTACTAATCTAACTAGTTGTAACTTGTAAGTACTAACTGATGTAACCGATGTGTTTCAGTCATAATAATATAATTAATAATAACAATTATTAAGTAACAATATTACCTACCTCAGATAATTATTCTGAAGAGAGTAGAAATGTTGGAATCAGAAGACATTTTTGATGATTGGTTTTTTAACTCTTTCAAAAGGTAAGAATATTTTGAATAAACTTCACTTTTGAAAATAGTAAATACCTATTGTAATTTGACTGGTTGATATAATTTTTTAAAACAAGGTATCATAAACTGCAAATGTTTGGTGTGGATAAACCGATATTTTCAATGGAACTGAGTTGTGATTCCTCAGTGTGTTTAGCATGTGAAAAACCCGGAGAAAATGGTTTTGAAGTATTGAATTTAGAACTTCCAAATAAGCTTTACCAAATTGAAAATGAACACGATTCAATAAGCACGAGTAGAGATTTGAAAATCAAATGTGGCACTTTAACTGATAGTCGATTAATTGATGTAAACATAAATTATAAGTATTTTGGTAACTATATTATCATTAAAATTTAAAGTTTAAATAAATATAATAATTTATCATTTATTATTTGAATAGATGAAAACTCTCTTTGGAAAATCTAAAACAATTTTGTCTGAAGAAGGAGTTGGTAAAGTTTCAATATATGATATGGATCCCCATAAATCAGGCAAGTATACAAAATTAGAGTAATCTGTTATTAGGTAGGTACTTAAAAATATCAAGTCATTCAGTTGTCTAATATATAACATATTATATTATATAATTTTAGATCAAATGATTCCATTGGTGAATATTGATAGCAAAGTGGAGAATGCACATTTAGCTGTTGATTGTACAACTGATACCTTAATAATTTGGGGAAAAGAAAATTCTTGTCATACAGGTTGTGTATTTAACATGGAAAACAATACCAAAACACTCATGATCAGAGATGTAACCAACGACCCAGAATGCATTTATACACCACATTTCATTTCTAAAAATGAATTGGTTGTTCAAAATTCAGAAAATGGATCATTTGATCTGTATGATTTAACTAGTGGTCAGCATGTGAAAAATATTCATTTACCTGGTAAGTTTTTGGATGTTACTGGGTAGGAAACATGATGTTTATTATTTTTACTATTAGGTACCTATAAAACTTATTGCTGGTACTGCATTTGAAAATACAAAATATTTTTTCTGAAATTTGTATTATTAATCGATTGTTAAAGTAAGTCATTTGGAACCAAATTCACTTTATCATTTATTTTAAATAACTTATTAATCTTATTGTTAGTATTTTTTTAGTAAGTAAATAATTATAAATAAGTTATTTACCTATTTATTTTTTTTTTAATAATTTGTTTTACAAAAAAAAAATTTGTATAAATGATTGCAAAAAAAAATCTAGCCAATGTGCTGATCTACTAGAACATATTTCTTCTATAAAAATAAATAAAATATTGATACACATTTTTGAGCTATTATGTGATGTATTTTATCATTGTGTTTTATAGCATAGTCTAATTTTTGAATAATTAAACATTACATTTACATAACAGCATTAGGATTTTATTGTATTATTACTTTTAAGTCAAATAAATTAGGTTTTACTTTTAACTGTATCTTTCCAATGTTCAGAACATGAAAATATATTATAATATTGTTTTATGATTGATATTGGTAATATGAATTAAATAATTAAAAATAAAGAACTTTTTCAAAATGTACAAAATACAAATAAAAGTTCATAATCTAACTACAATCTTCTTAGTTCTTCACGCTACTGTAGATAGTTTATTATAATTAAACATATTTTTATTTTTCAGAGGCTGATAGTTATGCAAAATGGTTTTTAAACACTGCATACACAAGTTCTAAAGAAACAACCACATTAAATTTAACATTAATTTCTAACTCTGGAACTTTACTTACATATGATTTGAGAAATTGTAAGACTCCAACAATGTATCAAAGAGAATTGTTTTTAAAATGTAATAACAATATAAACATAAGCCTTGACCCTAATAATTCACAAAATTATGCTGTTAGTGGATTTGACGGTAATGTGTATGTAATAGAAAAATCTGATTGTAATACCAACTTGATACACAAGTTTAAACATGAAGGACATATGTTCACTGAAGATGAAGATTTATGTCAAAATACAGTTACAAGTAGTACATTATGGTTACCAATGTGTGGACGTGATACGCTGTTATCGGCTGCAATTGATGGATCAATTCAAGGATGGCAATATATTTCATAAAAAAAATAACAATTATAATTACATTTTGATGTTGTACAAAAAGTCTGATATATTTAAATATTCTATTAATAATTGGTAATTTTTTTTTTTTTTTTTATTTTTAAGAGAAATTTACAATCTATACCTTAGGCACAATAGGTAAATGTGATACAGAATATACATATAAGGTATCAAAACAAATTAATATTAATAATAATAACAGGTTACAATAAATTTTATACAACATGTTACGTTTGATGAGAGCAGCCACCCATTAATGACACTTTCGCTCGTTTTTTTTTTTTTGTTATTTCTATAATATGTATTATACATATTTTATTTTATTTTATTTTTTTTTATTATTTTTTTTTTTTATGCATATACTTAATTTTTTAGTACTTGATTTATACGAGCAAGTCACGGCACCATTTTCGTTTTAACCTTCTTGGAGGGTTTCCGGGGATAGTCGGGGTAGAGAGATTTCGAACGAGCGGATTGGAGTGAGATAATAAGTGGAGGTGGAAACGTTTGTAATACAATTTTGCTTCCTCATGCACTAGAGGTATTTTTAAATCTGTATGAATAGTATGATTGGAAACATAAGGAGGGGCATTTAATAATTTACGAAGCGCTAGATTTTGGAAAGTTTGAATTTTGTTTAGATTGGACTTTTTTGCGTTTCCCCATAGTTGCAGTCCATATGTCCACATGGGTTTAAGTAATTGGTAAATTTAAAATAGAATTAAATTATATTATACGTTTTAATTATTTTTTGAATTAAATTGTTGCCAAACACAACAAGTATTATCTTTAGAAGCCGTCAAAATTGTATCACCTAGATAGCTCATTATTACCGAGAATACGTGATCAGTATGTCCTTTTAATTCTTGTAAACATTCTCCGGTTTCTGTGTCCCAAATAATAGAACTATGGTCTTGTGATGCGGTAAGCAGATGATGTCCAGCAGGTTCCCAAAAAACCTGAAATCACAATAAGTGATAATAAATCACAATATTGTATTATATTAAATTTAGTTTTTTCCAGATTAATTGAATAGGTACTTTTGTAACTTCTCCTGTGTGTTCAATCATTGCGGAAATTAAGTCTCCACTGCTTACATCCCAGATGCAGGCACTACAATCACTGCTCGCCGTAGCCACTCGACGACCGACTGAATCGAAGCAAATGTCTAGCACCTATACAACAATTATTAAACTTTACAATTGTTGGTTATCTGAAACTAGTAAACACAATGTTGAATATCTCACTACCTCGTCTGTATGGCCGGCAATAGTATGACAACAGCTGTCAGTCATCCTCACATCCCACAACTTGGCTGTGCCGTCCAATGAACTGCTGGCGATTGCTCTGCAACTGAAGTCGTAGTGACAGGCAGTCAATTCAGCAGTATGGCCATACAGTGTTGCTGTACATCTATGTATAATCAGATAAAATGTTCTACATCACAAAGCTTTGGTTGCAAATGAACGGAAAACCATTATTTACCCGATTACAATTTTTAGGATTAATTTAAACAGAAACCCATAAATATGTGAATAAATGTTGAACTGAATAAAAATCCACTTAAAGAGATCAATACTTTTATAGTTGACGAATTAGTTATATTAAAGGTGGGGTCTTCATCAGCAATACTTATAAGAGGATAAATATAGGAATTTAATAAATAATTAGAAGAAGAAAATTTAATAAAAAATGGAGGAGTGTTTCTAATGAGACTTGGTGGAACTTTAAAATGTATTTTATGAAGAATGGTAGGGCTAGGGCAGTCAAATGTCAATTAGGTTAGATAACAGCTTTGTAATAAATTGAATGTTTGTGCAGTGTCTGGGATCAGCAAGGCTAGATAAATTTAAAACTATACGTACTGGCTCGTAACCATGTGATGACTTTTAGTAAATAATACAGCCCATTTTTTAATCAAAAAACCCAGGCCCGGCCAGGAATAAAATTTCGAGACTTGAAAAGCCTGGTCCAACCCTTATTTAACCCTGCTTAAAATGGAAAATTTATTTGAATGTACCTATTCTAGATTTACATTTTTTTTTAATTTCTACAAATTTCCATATAGTATTTTTGTATCCTAGTTTTAGAATAGATTCTAAACGATATAAAAACCTCTTTTGCGCGAGTATACATTTGCCTCTTTCACTTTTTATAAAATCAAGAGGCATAATATTACTTTTGAATTATGTAGGTACCTACCTAAGTTACCTAACAATTGTATACAATACAAGTATACAACACTACAGAGTACAGACTGCACAGATTATCTCAGTCAACTGAAATCTGTAGATATACAATTATACAAATACAGTATAGGTTAGGTTTATTACCTATAATAGCAGTATAGCCTATAGGTATTCTACAAGGCTCAATAGGAAAAACATATTTGAATTTCAGATAAACGACATGTGATAGATGGTATAGGTAATTGAAATTGCAATAAAATCTTTTTCTTTTATAACAATGATTGATGTACCTATACATTAATTTTATTGTAGGTACCTACCTAATACCTACATGGCTACCGGTAAAATACGATTGAGAACGTTACGGTTGAGAACGTTATTTTTGGTAACACGATTGAGAACGCTTGATATTTTTATTTTTTTTCCAACGTTGCCAAATGTAATCGAAAGATAATTTGAGCACGATAATCGGCTATCGAACGATAAAGAACGTTTGCCTTTTTGGCTGAACGATTGATCCGGTTGATAGGTATTTAATATTTATCGGATGTTATGGTAGGCGTTGTAGTCGTCGCACAAACGTCAACGAAGTATTCGTCAGTTTATAAAATAGCAACAATAGAACAGGGTAAAAAAAAAGAAATGCCAATAAAACAAAAGAAAAAATTAATTAATATTCATAATAAATATAATATGTGGTATGTAGCAAATAAATGTTCTAGTAATTTATTAAAATATTTAGAGTATGTTGGATTACGCTATCCCGCTATAACTAATTTATAGGTAACTCATTTGTCATTACTTGTTACTTATTTATTACATTTTTTTAATTTTTTTTTTACATATTTATTACATATTTTAATAATTCTAAATTTTTTTTTAATTTTTTAAACATATTTATATTACATATGACTTTTTTCAAGAATATTTGTTAAATGATAAATAATGAATGATATGGCAACGTTGCACGTAAATTCGTTCTCAATCGTATTCTTTTTTGGGTTTTTTTGGGGTCAGTGGTAAGTTCTTTGTTATTTTTAAGTGTTCTCAATCGTTCGGCCAAAAAGGTGTAACGTTCTCAATCGTTCGATAGCCATGGCTACATATAGTAAGTAGGTACATATCGTTTTTAAACCTGTAGCAGTAGGTAATTGCGTTTGGCAACAAAAAAGCCTGCAACTTATTGGTTATTACTTATCGACCTAAAGTAAGTAGTAACACACTACAAATTTATACTTGCACGAGCAATTAACTATACGATAACTTGACGTTAAGTCGTTAACTCACTTGGCAGTGCGGACATCCCAAATCTTGATTGTGTTGTCGAAAGAACCTGTGAGGACCGTCGTGCCATCTCTATCAAACTGATTAACCACCACTTCGCCAGTATGACCCCTTAATGTGGCAACGTTTTGGCCTGTGAACAATGTAAACATGTGTATAGGTGGACGACAGGAGGTCGGTGGTATAGGTTTAATATTATATAGGTACCTACCTACCCTACTCGCTAGTATACTATATGCGTAAAGGTATTATACTGGTGTCTGGTATACTTATAGTTAGGTGTTTATATCCACTTATATGTAATATCTAGGAATGCATTACAACACTGTGTTTTTGTTCTTATATTATAAATTAAGCACTTTTATTATGTACTGTAACGGGGATGCAGGAGAGGGGCTAAGCCATAATTATGTTATTTTGTTGGGGAAATTATATGACAATATTATTATTATCGGTTATTGGAACTTGGAGGAAATGCGGGAACGCTTAAAATATTAGTCTGTATAGACTGCATTCCTAATCCCTAATATCCCTATATCAAAACTTAAGTCACGAGGGGGCTTCTTCTCAATAGGTTGTTCCATATAGTGAAAATTACAGGCTCCGCAGCAACACTGACCTGTAACGGCGTTAAAGAGCTTGGTCGTTTGGTCCATCGATGAAGTAGCCACCGTCTGCGTAGACCGGTAAACGGCCACCGCGACTACCTCGGCAGAATGTCCACGCATGGTGCACAAGCACTCGCCTTCATTGTCCAGCGACCATATGCGCGCCGTTTTGTCGAACGATCCGGTCAGCACCCTGGAAAATTGAGTTTGGTTCAGATTTTCACACACACACACACACACACACACACGTCTCTGTAACTTTTTTCTGTGGGAAGAGTGGAGGACCAAGACCCGAGAGTGTGTACACTGTGCAGTGGGGTATGGCGTACCCTGGATTTGTCAATGGAGGGACGGGGGAGGGGCTAAACAAAGTAAATCAAAATTTAATTAATATCCGTTACCTTATACTAGGTCGTTAATAATTAATATACTTTATCCCGTAACTGTAATAATGTCTTACAAATACTGATAATTATAAATAATAAATAAATTATATATTATAAATAATAATTGATTTTAATACGTATAAATTATATGTTTCTTCAAAACTGTTTTCAGAAATATCATGGTTTTTACTTTTCCTTTTGTTATATAAGATTCATACCATAACACAATTAATTCCCCCCCCCCCAGCTCGGGTACTGTGTCTGTGTGTGCCTGGGAGACGTTGGGCCTGCCGATATGATTATAAGAGTAGGCACCACGCTGTACCAAGGGCGGACTGGGAATAAAATTGGCCACGGTGAAACAGAAAATTTGGCACAATTTTGGGCTAATAATAAAATATTTATAAGTTATCGGCCCTAATTTTAGGATCGACCATCCAGTATCCACCATCTTGGACAGTCTACCCCGGATAGGTACCTATAATATAGCGTCCGGGGGTCCCTGTAGACTACAGGATGATTTTTTTGTCACGTGTCGCTCAGACCCTAGCTGTACCTAGTAGTATTGGATATTATTATATATAGTAGTGTTGGGTAGTAACGTAACGAAAGTAACGCGTTACTTTTCTTGTAACGCGTTACGTAATTTCATTAGAATTATTTCCAAGCAATGAAAATGTAGGTAATGGAAATTACTTTTGAAAAGTAATTTCTATAGAATAACGCGTTACAGTTTCGAATTATTAAGTACCTACCTACTTATTGCGAATTGAAGAAAAATATATGTATAATGCGGGTATTATTATGTTTATTAATCTAATATGTATATATATTTAATTTTAACTCGGCAAAATTCAGCTTTCAATGGTTTTGACATTTGAAATGTCTAATTGCACCGTAAATCACGAGAACAGTTAATTAAATTTATTATTTAATTTGATTCCTGTAAAGAAGTTTGCTATTTCCTATGGTTTCCTTATGTGGAAGACTAAATTTTAAATGATCCTATTAACTATATATAGGTTTTATAAAGAATTTGCTTGTTCAATTTACTTTCCAGAAGATAATTGCCAAAAACTTAAAAAATTTTATTTTCGTAACAAGAAAGTAATGAGTTACTTTTTTATTTGAAAAGTAAAGTAATTTCATTACAATGTTATTTGAGTAACGAGTAAAGTAACTTTATTACTTTTTAAAAGTAACTTACCCAACACTGTAATAGTACACGAGTTATATATTAAGTAGGTTCAAGCCCGGATTAAGGATCAATTGGGCCCCGGGACACCATACACTTAGTGGGGCCCCTTTCAACTTTAACTTAAAAATAATTGTATTATTACATATTAACGACTTTATATTATTGTATAATTTTTTACTATACAAAAAATATACAGAGTGTATCTTATATCATAGTATACGAGGGTTTTTTTTTTAACAATTATGGATCGATGATATGGAATTTCGTTAAAACAAAAAAGACGTGTTTCTTTATTTTTAACAGGCATTTTTTCTACAAAATTTTCAAAATTTTTAAACACGCAGTTGTACCAATAATAAAATGGACTTTATTTTTTTTAAATGGTACCTCCTAACCAGTATATTTTTTCATGGGTTCTGGTAAAGGTTTTTGTCGGGACATTTTGACAGTCCAATGATCAATTTTAGTTTGCCAAGTTATTAACTATGGTAGTATAATGGTCCTTGAAAGTTTATTATAATATGCATTAATACTTTTAACTGAAATAAGTAATTTACAAGAGCTAAATATTTTTTTCTTATAACTAAATATATACTTAAATAGTTAAATCAGTAATCGAAAATTTTCAGAAAAAAAAAACATAATCAAAATTGTGTTTGCCAACACAGCTCATTATTTATAGTAATTTTTCGTGATATAAAATTGAGAACAATTTTGTTTTATAATTATTATTTATTAAGTAATAATAATTTACCTACTACCTATACCTAGGTACATACTTATATATTTATATTTTTTTTTTTTAAACTGTACTGGACGAGTTAAAAAAATTTATTTTGGGGATAAAGATGAACCCCCGGGACCGTGCCACCCTTGGACCCCCCTTAATCCGGGCTTCAGCAGGTTATACTGTTGTAGGTAATAACTAATAGGTATATTGTAAATGGAGTATTTTGCTACCAAATAATAACCCTGTATATAGAAATATAATAGTTATGGTGATATGGATCATGATGAATGTATCGTGTACGGTGTACCACCCCTGGTTATACAAGTCACTTACATTGCTATGCTACTTACTATGCCTACTTAGGCATATCGTCCCATGGTGGGTAACGATGCTCGCCACTGGCATATTCGTGTGATACTAACCTTCCCGCTATTGCCAATGACACAACGTACACCGCGTTTTCGTGTCCGATGAGCGTCGATGTCTCTTCGCCCGTCCGGGTGTTCCAAATCTTGCACGTTCGGTCATAGCTTCCTGTGGCGCAACTACAGTACAAGCGCAAATCCGGTTATTCGTATTTATATTCTATGTATTTCGGTTAAAGACCGAAATATGCCAATGTGCAAGAGTACTATACTACTATGGAGTACCCGAGTACGGAATACGGAGTAGGATTAATATTTAGCGCCCTTGGATGGTAGGTGCATAATATTATTATAATTTATTTTTATACGAGCCCAGGCGTTGAGTATAGGCAATATTATACGCTTCAAAATGTGTTGGCACGCAGAAGAATAAATTAGTTAATTCAATAAGTATAATTTTTCTATTCCTTGTAAGTTGTATAATGCAGTTATAAGAATAATGTCAGAATGTTGGGTAGTGGACAATAAAACGGAACATAGGGAGAGTGTATACTGTATACCAGACATAAGAATGCTTAGATGGATGTGTGGAGTGACACTAGGAAGGAGTGAAGGACCATAGACAGGTACAGACCTCTATATATAATAGAGGTATTAGGTACTAAATATTCCTAATTCCTACATACGTCGAATGGCTAAAATTATAATCTCAATACACCAACACTACATTTTGATATAAGTTCTAGGAGGTACCTAATGGTTTTCTACTGGCTGCTATATTAATAAATTAGTAATTACATCATTACTAATTTTAACGTATTATCATGAAAATATACGATATAAAAAAAAAAGATAAATAAATAATATTCTAATAAATGTACTAATATAGACATATTGTACGAATAACGGATAGGTACCCTGTAATACTGTTAGGAAAAAATAAATTTTGAAAAACAATAACAGTGTGGATCGATTACTCGCAAAACAAGTAATGTACCTAAGTATATAACACAATTTTGCATTTGCGTAGAAACACCTCAGCTAATCTTGACAGGACACGTTTTGCTTTCAACAATATTTTAAAATGAGGCCACAATACAATTCACTTTCAACTTCTTTGGTATTTTAAACATCTTTTAGAAAAATGTATTTTATAGTGTCAGTTATTACACAACCAAAATCAATACTGATTTTTGTCTATTCAATATCGTAATTTTTTTAAACACATTAATATAATAATATTATATAGTAAATATTTAATAAAAGCTGCTTTCTTAAAATTGAGGACATGTTACAGTTTCTCCCTTAAGCACTGCGTTATATCTATTAGGTAGGTAGCCCATTTTTAGTATGTTTTATAGAAGAGAATTAAGTATTCATATTTTTTAGATACCTCATACTTCATAGCTTTAAATTATATTTACTTACATATCTCCGAATTTGTCAATGGATACATTTGTTATTGGTAACAAATGGCCACTGCTCAGAGTTTTGTCAACATTGAAATATTCGTGGACATTTTCCCAGTTGTTGAACAATGTTTTATCCTTAAGTTTTTGCAAGATCGTTTCCAGTTGAGGCAGTATTTTAGGAGTGATCAATGGTTCATCGCTCGCAATTTGAGCTGCTAGTTTCTCTACATTTGTTCTATTTTTAAAATGTAATACTTAATAAATTAAAATATCAATCAGTGTTGTAATTTTCTATGATAAAATATATTTTTCTGGTATCATATTAATTTTAAACTTACTCTTGTTCAATATCGAATAAATCCAAAATCTTTTGTTTTATTTTCCTTTGCTTTTGATATTCAAAAACAATACCTATAAAACACAATTGACATAAACACTGAAAATTATGTAATATTATTACCTATAATAGTAACAAAATATTACCTGGTGGATAATATCTTATGTAAAATTTATTTAATTTCATATAAATCTTTTATTTAAAATAAGTGCATTGCTTAAATATTGTTCAATTGAACATGCCGCATAAAGCTTTTTCAATGTTGCCATAGTTACATAGGTAGAATGTTGGATCTAAATATTATTGATTTTGAGCATTTCGTTAAAAAGATACCATTATAATCCATAATGATGGTTATAGTTCTACACTTGGTACTTGTTAGTTGTTAGTTGTTACTATAGTTTTTATCAGTATTTTTGAATAGCGACTAATTAATAATATTCAACTTTATCACTATACTATATTATAGTAGGTATATAATATTGAAAAACAATGATTATAAAATGTATTACACTAACAATATATTATAATATATATATATTTTTATTTAAAACGAAAATAAAATTTCATAATAATTATGTATGAATAATCATGACAAAATGTATATACAAATATAACTAGATGAATTTACATACTTAAAATGTTTATAATTACTCATAGAGGGGAAAATAGATTTTTAATTAATGTTTTGATATCACTTAATTATAAAATATATACAGTTTTGTAGATACAAAAAAGGACTATATTTTCATAAAAAATAAAATAATGTTTAACCATAGAACTAACAACATTCAACTGGTTTGTAGGCTTGAAAGAAAACACAATAATTGAACAAATATAGTATTAAACACTGACTATAAATACGAAACAAAATATAATTCACAAGATTTTAAGATTAAAAAGCTTATAATATATAATACATAACATACAAATAAACATTAATGACCATAATAATTTGCAATATAATTTTAAATAAAAAAAATTGTACTTAACGCATATAGTATGTATAGGAAGAAAACATTATAGTTATCATTAAATTTATGTAAATGTCTCATACATATTTCCAACATAATGCAATGTACTATGATAAACAAAATATTGCACACGCGTCAACAAACAACTTGTTGATCAAAAATTATTTTACACTCTTTGCAATCTTTGCTGCTTTCTTCGCTTCATGTTTTAATGTTTTTTTAGTGTTCTGATCTGCTTCTGTCAATTCATTAAACTTTCGGGAAGCTAAAAAAAATATTAAATATATAATATTATGTTAATCATTATTCTTTTTTCATTTTTGTTAACCTACCTGTATTCTTGCGTTTTTTGTTAGAAATATCTGTTGATTTTGGTTTGGATTTGATTAATCTAAATGATGCAGATAAATTGAGACCATTGGAATTTTGGTCGTTCAAGAATTCATGAATAATCCATGCTTGTGTAGCCAATGAGCCAATCGAACATATTAATTTGAACATGGGGGTGTTGAAATCACGCAATTCTCCAGTGTACTGCACACCTTTAAGACCGAACCATAGCATCGTCTGAGATAGGATTAATGTCAGCGATTGTACAGCATAAAACAACCAGTTGTATACATTTTGGGCCACTAATAAAAACATACATTTTAATAAAATAATTACTTAATACTCATAGGCCTTTAAAATAACTCACATTGAACTTTTTTACTATCTTCATCTTTCTCAGTGATATCAATCAATTTAACGGCGTGTTTAGTAAATCCACAAACATAATTCAACAATAGTAATACAACACCAATACGGTGGAAACTGAAACGTAAGACCAACATTTAATTAATAAAATATTTATTTTGTTGTTTTCATAAGAAAATTCTTCAAAATTACTTAGTTATGTATATAGCCGAGACAAATGCCAAGTACAATACAGAATATTTCACTCTGCTAAACATATCCTCTTTTTTAATTTTTTGGAAGTACAGTTCTGGCATAATATGAGCCCAGTAAGCAAATTGAATTATGTAAAAGAATTTTGTTGAAAACGATAGAGTGCTGTATGGATATCCAATCCATAAAGATGAAAGATCAGCCAACCAATTTCCTCTGTAAAATACATAGAACACCATTATTAAATATCTAATTAATTATATATACTAAATAATATTTTATATTTTAAATAGTTTAAAAAAAATATAATAATGAACAATCCATTTTAAATTATCCAATAATTTATAACAAATGCTTACTTCACAACAATGTCTAATGCCCAAATCATAGAAACTGCATTGAATACAATCAGCTGTCCAGATTCATTGAATTTTGAATTTTTTGATTTGGATAAATGCAATTTACGGCAAATTTTCTGCAAGTAAAATTGATTAGATGATTTACTAGTAAACACTAATTAATAATTACAGAATTGGATGTTAGGGAAGGTGGTGTAAATAGCGCCCCCCCTAGAATTTTTTTTAAAATTGATATTTGAACTAAATCGGAATAAGGAATATTATCAACTTACTAAATAGTAAATATAGTATTTTGATATCTATTATCTTCTGATTATTTTGTCAATAAAAATTATTGAACAAATTTAAGCAATATAATGTTGAATAAAATACTGTTTGATATTATAATACATCTATCTTAAATTCATTGTTTTTTTTTTTAAAAACAGAAATACCTACCTATATTTAAGGATTAAGGCTGCAGGGATGGGTATGCAATTTTTATGGCAATACCTACATATAAATTGCATAATTGAATAAAAACACTACAATTTGGACACCCAAAATTTTATTTAGGGCCTTGTAAGTACTAGTGATACCAGATTGTCACACTCTTAAAAGAGCTCCATAGCTGCCATTTCATTGTTTGTAGATAATATCTATTTTATAGTTTCATAAAGAGCCTCTTATGATTAATAGATAAACATAAGAACTTTCAAATTTACTTAATTAACTAAATTAACTATTAAAAGCATTTGGTAATTACTTAAATAGGATTTAAATTCTAAATATCACTTGGAGTATGAAAGAGATGATTTTTTATTAATTAGATTCTAGATTTTTATACTTAGGTATAAAGTTATCGAATAAATAAAATACATGTAGAACATTAAAATAAAAGGTTAGACTGTATAGCAAATTTTTAATTCAATCCAAATGTTGTTTATTTTTTTTTTTAAATTGAAATCAAACTATAAGGACTTGTTATTTTATCTAGAGAATGATGAACCAACTGTTTATGATAACACACACACACATGTACATTTCTTGAGAACGATATTAAGACTAATACAAAACTAGGAAATAATATGAGCAGAAATGTTTTGAAACTTTTACTATTACTACTACTTCATACAATAAATATTGTCTTTAATACCTCAAAAGTCTACACATGTGGGTAACTACGATATACTTACATCCAAAACATATTCTTGAATTATGGCATGGAATATGATGCAAATGAGGAAATAGAAAAATATAGCAAACAAATCCTTTAGACCTGTACCATATGTTTGCAAGGTGTTAGGTCCGGGGGTTTGGACATATTGCAGGGCCACAAACAATGAAGACACCGGTGAAGTCAACTGCAATGCAAAACAAAAAACAACATGATACAACGACAATAACACAACGGTAATGCTCGACGTAAGAAATTAGTTGCTGAGTCTTTTGCTCACCTGAACCATGAGACCGATGACGATGACCATGGCCACGCAGGACATGATGTCTGCATGGTTTTGGATGACGAACTCATGGCTGAGTATGGGCAAGTTCTTGTTGGCGGCAGCCTTTCTGCCTTTGATTGGGGCCATTTTCGAAACGGCACTCAGCAGCTGGACAGTTATAGGAGGTTTTGCCACGTATGGAGACGAGACTGTTGATGCAAACGCGTCAGCAGACTGAGCTGTAAGTACGACGGTCGGCGGTCGAGTGTAACTGGTGGACTACATTGAAGATCAGAAAGCGGCCGTAGTCGTTGGCACCCGGACCTGAGTGTGTGGCAGTTGCGTTGGCTGCTTACAGGTTGCTGATGTGTCAATATAATACACCTGTCGGCGTGTGTTTACATTTTCCGTTTATTTTTTTATTGATAACGTCGAAGGCGACCAGTGATAACCACGTATCGGTCACGGTCATAGTGCGTCACACGGCCGCTAGATGTCACATGCGTCGTAAACTACATCGTTGATCATAAGCACGATGTAGGTAGTTTTACCTACATCGTGATCATAAGTTATGATTCATAACACAGATCATATGATTATATTATTTTCATATAATCTGTGATCATAATGTACGGACTAAGATAGTGGTTGTAAGTTATACCAGTATACCACAGAATAGATTAAATTTAACCTGTTATACACTTTCATACACTATACAGTAATTCAAGGCGTAATATTAGCAGGCACGCCGTTTAAAGGGGGATGTATAGGAGGGATTAGGGGCCATGCCCCCCCTAGACGTCATTAACTACCTATAAATAATAATTTCTTTCAAAAATATGTATAAAAGTTCAGTGTTTATATACCTAAGTCATAATCACGGCCTACAAATTTTATTATTCGATAAGTACATGTTTTTCCCTCTGTACTAGGCCTAAGTGGTAAATGGTTGAAAGTAAAATTTTTGACTTAAAGGATACCAAGTCAGGGCCTAAAATTAAGATATTTTGCTACTGTATAGGCACCTATTTCTAAATATTTTAAAATTATGAACAAAGACCTAGTAGTGCACATGGTACATATAACTTCATTGCATAATTGTTTTTGCTATTCATTAATAAATTATAATAAATACAAACTAAGACAGCCTTTTATACAACTCCTTAATACCTATATGGCTATATGACTTAACATTTTAAAATTAAAAACGAAATAGCTTGGGTTAATATCAGGGTTGGCACGATTGCACGAAAAAGTCCAGCCCGAAAAAACCCGGGCTGCTTTTCTGGATAAAACAGAAATTCACTCTTAATTTTTAGATTCTGAGTGGAACGATGAATGTATTGATTTTACAATGATGTGTGTTTTTTTTTTATTTTTATTTTTGTGTCTGTGTACACGATAAGTAGTCGAAATAATGCTTCGATTTTCAACTTCAGTATCTTGTTCGATTGGAAAGTGAATATAGTTGGTGCATTCGGGAGGTCAAATTTTAAAATGCCCAATAGTTTTCAAAAGCGCAGGGATTAAACACATAAAAATTAAGGAATAACGGGAATTTTTACCCAAAATCTGTTTTCCAAAAAATCGATTTTGGTTTTTGGTTTAACTCTAAAACAAATGAATATATATACATGAAATTTTCACTTGTTGTTTATATTTGCATTTTCTATACACGATAAAATTTTTAAAATATTATGATTTGTTTTGATTTGTTTAGGGACATTTTAATTTTCCATTTTTTTTTAGTTTTTATTCTAAAAATAATAATAAAATTTTATTTGTTGGTTTCGAAAGCTTGACAATTCAATAGAAGGCTCCAAGTATATTGTTTCAAAGGCAGATGAAAAATATTAAAAATCCTTAGTCACAGTTTTTTTTTATAAGCATTTAAAGTTCAAAAATTTACAAAATATGGAAAAATCACGAAAATTAGCAAATTATTTTGAGTTAAGAATTCGTAAAAATTTTTCTTTTTAAATCTAAGATTTGAAAATGTAATACAAGATTACTCATAAGATTGTCTATCTTTATCAATAAAAAATCTCTACCGGAAAGTCAAATTAAATTTTTATGAGCGTTTGAAATTCAAATTATTACAACATTGGATATTCACTCGATTTCTCATGAAGCGATTTTCTTATTTTGTTGTAATTCAAAAACGAATAACTGTAGATACATGAAAATTTCACTGAATGTTCAGATTAACAATTCCTATACACTGTACAATTTTGAAAATATTTCGACTCTTTTTGAGCTGTTTACGGACATTTTCAGTTTTAAATTTTTTTAGTTTTTTTTTCTATAAATATCAATAAAGTTTTATCTGTTGGGCCAAAAAGTGTAAGAATTTAATACAAGGTTCCTGATATATTGTTACAGTAGCAATTGAAAAATATTAAAAATTCATTGGCACAATTTTTTTTTATAAGCATTTAAACATCGAATTTTGACAAAATTTATCAAAATCTCGAAAATTATCAATCATTGTAATTAATAAATTATAAAATGTTCAGTTTTTATAGCTAAAGATTGCAAATTTAAAACAAAGGTTCTCATAAATAGTTCATACTGTAACCAAAAAATCTAAAAAATATATGACCACAGTAATTTTTTACCGGCATTTTAAATTCAAATTGGACGAAATTACATATTAAAATCAATATTAACGATCTTTGTTTTTGTTGTAATTTAAAAATATTATTCGGGGATATATGACACTGAAAAATCAAAATATTATGGCCTATCCATACAATCTACCATAGTATAAGGAATAAGAATTATGCTCATGATAAGACTGTGCATATTTTAAGAAATGTATTCATAAATTCCATATAATTTAATTCCATAGAAAAGTATATAATATGTCTTATACCTAGACCAGCGGTTCCCAACCTGGGGGTAATTACCCCCTAAGGGGTAAAAACACGATTTTTTGGGGGGACACTGATAATTTTATTATTTTCAAATAATACTTAGAGTCTTAGAATATTACATTATATTGAATTTCCTGGAATTATTTTTGTTGTACAATTGTCTACACATTTTATATATTTTATATTTTATACATTTTAATTATTATCATAATATATATTTTGTTTTGTTTTTTTTTTACTCAACTTTTTTTTTGGGTCGGGGGTATATGTTAATATCTAACCTGACTTATGGGTAATAGTCTCAAAAAGGTTGGGAACCGTTGACCTAGACTGACATACCGTCTTCGCTCAGAATCGTTTTTCTTATACAATGATATTGTATCATTGAATTCAAATTTAATAGCATAAATTATACAGTGACCCACTTGTAACCTACAGTACAGCAGAACGACATCCACTTACCCACCTTTTTAAATTTGATACTGCACATTTAATATTAGCTACTGCACACAATTTTAGGCCCTGGCCCTCTTAGAAGTCGAATCAAATCCACTACTTTTAATTAGTCGATGTTAATTATATGTAGGTAATTTATCAATTGTTAATAATTATATTATTACCTAAGATATCTATATGTGTGGTTATTAGGTACTTAATACCACCACAGAATAGATTTTAATTTATTCTGTGATACGACGAACTAAGATATTTGTATATAGATACACCAAGTCTTCAACCATCTAAGGTATAATAATATTATCTAGGTTCGTGGTTATTAATACCATTGATTATAAATAATAGTATTCATAATCAATGTTAATACTTATTAGTTATTAGCATAGTGTATAGGTACCGTGTGTCCGCGAAAACTGGGTACACTCTATAGTACACTCAGTTCTCTACATTACTCAGTACTCTAATACTCTATACATATTTTAGAATTCTGTCTGCGGGAGATAGATGAACCAATAGTCTAGTTTCATGTTCCGCAAACAGAATTGAAAAATATGTTTAGGGCACTAAGTAATTTACTAATAATATGGGTAATTTAATTATTCAGTGTACTCTGTTTTCGCGGTATATGTCTATGATTAGTAGTGTAGAAAAGGAAGTATAATAATAACGTTATTAAATATTTAATATTATTATAAATATAAACAGTACTCAGTAGTGGGTACCTAAGAGGCTACGAAACACTTCACTGATATTGAATTATACGCGTGGTATATTGGGCTGTACGACGTTTGTAAGTTATAAGGAGTTGTAGAAACTCTGAGCTCGTTAGAGATTTGAAAAACTGCGTATGCTCTAAACTTGATTTATGCCACTATTTTTGCTTTGTAAACAAAATTTAACTACCTACCTACTGTTTAAGTTGACGTTATCAATAAATTTCAAAATTCTTTTTCAAACAATAAATTACCATCTATATTTTTTTTTTTTATAAACGATGCTTATAAATTATAATAAATAATAATACAAATACAACAGTTATAATTATTATTTACGTATAAGTATTAAGGGAGAGAATAATTATTTTTTGTAAAAACTTTACAGTTCTCACCCTCGAGTTTACATTTAGGTATTCGTGTTCCCGATTTATGCTTTAAATTTCGAAATAATATGTTTTCATTTTATTATTGGGTACAAGATCAGGTGACAGGTACACTAGCTGTACCACACCAATAATGCATGATTTTTCGGTTGTACCTATTATTATAATATTATTGTCATATTTGTGACTACCTACCTATGTAAAATTGTAGAAGATAGAGTTTTAAATTTTATAATTTGAAAAAATGTTTAAAAAAACCCTAATTAGTTAACTCTAAAAAACATAAAATAATTTGTTGGATACACTATTTTTTTTAAAACTATGTTGATAAGAGTATAATAAATACAATGAAAAATATAGGTACCTATAGGTAGTTAGGTACTTGAAACATTTAACGTTATACATTTATATGGTTTTATGATTGGCAGAGTACAATACTGTATGTCTTGTTCATAATTAATTCAACCAAAAAATTACTTTGTTTGACATTGGTAATTATAAATAGAATATTTTGCTGTGTATTAAACAAAGTATTATGTAAAAAAATATTTTGACGTCTTTTAATTTGCTTCATTCCAACTTCCTTTTATACCTGTAAAAAATATATTCAAAGGTTTTCCTGTTTTCCCATTTATGTAGGTGCCTTCTACATTAGTTTATTACAAAATACTGTACACAGAATAAGCATTTGACAGTGGGAAAACCGAAAAACTGAC